TCCATTCGAACTTTTTTTGCTTTCCTGACTCATCTTTCTGGGCGGCTGACCTCATAATTTTGAAAAATGGCAGACATTTATCTGCTGACTTCGATATGAACCGATGCAGAGCTGCCACCCTTTCAGTCAGCCTCTGTATATCCTTCACTGATTTAGGCGGTTCCATCTCGGCAATTGCTCTGATCTTCTCTGGATTGACCTCAATTCCCCTTCGGGACACCATGAAACCTAGAAATTTTCCAGACTCCACTCCGAAGATGCATTTGGCTGGGTTCAACCGCATCCTGTTCTTTCTAAGGTTGTTAAAGGTTTCGTCGAGGTCGGAGAGATGGTCTTCTGCTTTTATGCTCTTTACCACAATGTCGTCGACATATACCTCTAGATTCTTGCCAATCTGAGCGTGGAAGACAATGGTTACCATTTTCTGATAAGTAGCACCTACATTCTTCAAGCCAAACGGCATCATGACATAACAACAAATTTCATCGCCAGCATAGAACGCAGTTTTCTTTTCGTCTTTTGGAGCCATTGGCACCTGGTGATACCCCGAATATGCGTCCAAGAGGCTTAACCTCTCATTGCCTGAAGCTGCTTCAACTAGTTTGTCAATGCTCAGCATTGGATAGCAATCCTTAGGGCAGGCATTGTTAAGATTTGTGTAATCAATGCACATTCGCCATTTGCCATTTGCCTTCTTCACCAGAACTGGGTTAGCCACCCATTCACAGTAATCAACTTTCTTGACAAAACCAGCCTATAGGAGCTTCTCTACCTCGTCTTTAATAGCCTGAAGCCTCTCACCCCCAAAGAGACGCTGCTTCTAGGCTACTGGTTTCTTCAATGGATTGGTGCTGAGCTTATGTTGAGAGACTGAATTTGGAATTCCTGGCATATCTGCCGAAGTCCATGCGAATACATCATTATTAGCTTGAAGAAAAGCTATTAGCTCTGCCCTTTCCTCTAGGTTTAATCTAGTTCCGATTTGCGTCTTTCAGCTCGGATCTCTGCCATCAATGAGCACTTCTTCAACATCTTCGACCGGAGCAGCTCTGGTTTCATCTTCTGGTCGATTATCTACGATCTCAACACCCATAACTTGCTGATTATCAGGAATTTGCTGAGGAATGGCCTCGGGTGTTTGAGCTTTGCCCTTCATGGGTTGCGTTACCGAGGTGATATAACAATGCCTGGCCACCTCCTGGTTTCCTCGCAGTGTTGCTATTCCCATAGGAGTTAGGAACTTCATGCAGAGGTGAGATTGGGAAACTACAGCTCGGATTTCAGTCAGTGTGGGTCGACCAATAACAATGTTGAAAGAGGACACCATCTTTACTACGAGGAAACGGACCGACGGGGTCACATAGGTCCTGCCACTCCCAAAAGCCACATGTAGAGTAAGAACTCCTTCTACCGGAATAGGTTGGTTGTTGAAACCATAGATAGGACCATCATATTTCTGCAACAATGCTAGATCCAGTCCCAGACTCTCGAAACAGTGGAAGTACATGATGTCTGGTGCACTCCTGGTGTCAACAAGGACACATTGTACTTCACAGTTGTTAATCATGACAGAAGTGACCAAGGGATCATTATGGGGTGTGACAACTGTATCAAGATCAGCAGACGTGAAAGTAATGGGTTGATTTTTCCACTCAGCATCGTCAATCTTCTGCTTCTGAGCTTGGTTTTGATGTTTAACCTCCCTGACATACAGCTTTCGCTGCTTAGAGCTCAGTCCACCTGCTTCAAGGCCTCCCGTAATCATATGTATTATTCTAGCTGGTGGTGGGAGTGGAGGTGGGGCTTGCTGATATCCTACACCTTGCCTATTTGGAGGATTGCGGACTCTTTGAGGCTGCGGCCTCTGTTCTCTGATAAACCTCGGCTGTTCAGTTATCTGAACATACTCATTTAGCATTCCCTTCTGAACTAAACTTTTCAGTTCGGACTTTAAGCTGTTGTACTGCTCTGTAGTATGGCCGTGATCTTGATGAAAATCACAATATCTGGTGTGGTCTCGACTGGCAGCAGCAGTTTTCATCGGGCCAGGACGCCTTAAATCCATTTTATTCTTGATCTGCATAAAAATTTGTGACCTCGGCAGATTAAAGGGAGTCCAATTAACTGGAGGTTTACCTGGAGATTGTTGCGGAGGTGTTGAGTTCGTCCTTCCGAATCTCGTTGGGGAGGTCAACATCGGACCTCGGTTATGCGCCATTCTCATCCTTTTCCGGCTCGGATTGTCATCTCTCCATTCTGGGTTCTGGTTCTTAGAGGAAGGTGGGTTTTGCGCCAGAGCGTATTCCTCAGCAGTTATGAATTTCAGAGATCTGTCGTTTACCTCGCTAAAGGAGGTGGCAGCATGTTTGATCAAACTGTCTCGGAACCTGTCATGTTTGAGACCAGAGATTACAGCTGCAATGCCCACAGCTTGGTCGAAGGAATTAACCTCCAACACTGCATCATTGAACCTGCTCATGTAGTTCTTTAGAGACTCTCCGTCCCTCTGTTTAACTCGCATCAATTCGGTAGTAGTTTTCCTAATCAACCTTCTACTGGAAAACTTAGTGGCAAAGGCAGATGCCATTTCTGTGTAAGAACTAATTGACCTCGGAGGTAGACTATAATGCCAAGTTCGAGCATTACCTCACAGAGTAGAGGGGAAGATTTTGCACATTAACGCGTCAGAAGCGTTTTGAGCTTGCATACAAGAGTAGAAAGCATGCAGGTGATCATCGAGGTCCTTCGTCCCGTCATAAGTCTCCAATTGTGGTATTTTGAAACCAGCAGGATAGGGTTCTAGAGTAATGTTGGTATTCAAAGGGTGAGGTATAGAGTCAGCAGCATGGTGTGGGGGTGGAGCACCTCAGTGTTCGGCTACTAGCTTCTCCAGGCTATCGAGACGGCGAGTAACATCATCAGGGATGGGTTGTTGAGCGGGTGCTATGTGGGATTGACCCTGAGATTCACTAACAGTGGGAGCAGATTGAACCGGTTGAGGATTCTGTTGTGAAGCTGGGGGTTGTTGAGCAGGGTTTAGTAAATTAATGAAAGGATCACCAAGATTATTTCTAGCTAAAAGCTGAGCCAGTACCAACTGAAAAACACCAAACTGCTGCTGCATGGCAGCAAGCTGAGCTGTCACCACGTCATGGTTGGCAGTGGAAGTTGAATTGTGGGCTGAGGTATGGGGTTGGTTTTCATCTCCTCCTTCTGCATGATCAACAGGAAGGAATATGGTTGGGACCTGAGGTAGGATTTGAGGTGGGATCAGAGGTGGAAGGTTGTTGGGGGGTTGACCTTGCCCATGAGGCAGAGATGAATTACCAGCTCGGACTGATCGAGTGTGAACCATGATGAAAGAGCAACTAGAAAGCTTTCAGTTCGATTCCCACAGACGGCGCCAATGTAATTGCACCAAACCTGAAGTCCTTCTTCAATCCGCGCTTGTACTCCGAGATGACCTGCAAAGCCCCGAGGTGGAACTCGGGGTAGACACTCCGATGCTTAAGTCAGCAATAATCGGGGCTACCTTTAGGGCGGAGATAAAAAGAGCTTAGGGTTGGTTTCAATTACCTTTCTGAGGTGGCCTCTAGGGGTATTTATAGGATCCAATGAGGAATCCACGTGGCATGCCAAGCAAGATAATCAGAGCCTGACGTGTCCCTCCAGACGGTTATTCCGGGACCGGGAATTTGAGGGGTATCCAGATGCACGAGCGTCCACCATACTTGCTGTGCCACTTATCGTAAGGGATCAGGTGCGAGCATGCTTATTGTCCTTGTCATGCAGCCATTTGAGCGGGAAGCTTTGGATTTATTCCTCACTTCGGTCATAAAGGAATTACTGTAGAAGTCCGAGGCTTGGCACCTCGGACTTATCCTTACAGAAAGTGTAACGAGCTGGACCGAAGTCTGTCACTTCCATTTTTAAATTATTAGTAGTATTTAATCTGTCCACAAAATTCAGTTAGTACAGGAAGTTTCCCTTGGGACTCGGAGTAATGAATTAATTAATTTGTCTTGTTTTGTTGATTGATGCAAAGACGAACTGATATGTCGTCATCGTTATTGTGAGACAGTGGACATATGTTGCGGAGAACTTGAGGCTGGAATTGACACGTGTTTCTACTTTCTCCGTCGAAGTGTTTCCACTCGTAACACGTTTTTTTTTTTAAAGAGTAATGATTAGAAAGTTAATATGAATTAGTTGTTAGTAACTGATTTTCAGATTGGATGAACATTTCATCCCCTCAAATGAGGCACACGGTCATTAGACTGTTTTTTAGTGAAGTTCATAATGATAATAGAGTTCAAAACTCCAATCACCTTACCCAAACACTTAAAATTTAAAATCAAACCATTGAATCTAAAATATAGTTCCACCCGTAACACGCATGACTTATCCAAGCTTGTTTATCTGTATTTTATTTTTTTACTTTTACTTGTATTATCTTCAACTGGAGAGGAATAATCAGTCATGCGCAAAAAGTTGATTTTTAATGTTTTATTTTATTAAATTTATAAATTTTAATCTCTAAATTTATATTATGATATTTTTAATTTTTTATTTATTAAAATTAAAAAAAAAATAATCTTCACTTATAATATTTTATTAATTTTATTAGTTAATTATTAATTCTATTAATTGATTGGTAATTAATAAAAATTTATTTTTAATTAATAAAATTGATAATTAATTAATAAAATTATTTTGTTAGTTAATTATTTTGTTAGTTAATTGTTAAGTATATTAGTTAATTGTTAAATTTATTAACTAACTATTAATTAATTATTAATTGATAAAAATTTATTTTCAACAGAGTTATCAACTAACAGAATTAACTGTTAATTAATAGAATTAATGAAATGTTATAAAATAAAAATTATTTTCTTTTGTTCTAATAAGTAAAGAATTAAAAGTGTCATATTATAAGATAAGAGATTAAATCTTACTATTTTAGTAAAGTAAAAAATTAAAAATAAATTTTTACCATGGGTGAGAAAGGTGGTGAAAATATTTTTTTTATTAATTAAATTATAATATTTTAATTTAAAATATTATATTTTAATTAATTAAAAATTATCCTCTCCTCTTTTCCTCTCCTCCCGAGTATTAGGAAAAAACTTGATATTATTTTTTTTGGGTTAGACGTTGAAAGTTATAATGAAAAAGCAGGATTTTGAGTTTTTGTGATTGTTTTTATATATTTATATTTATTTTATTTTATATTCTTATTTTAAATTTAAATTTAAGAAATTTAATCTTTAATTTAAAAAAATTAATTTAATTATTTATTTTTTAAAATATTATTTTTTGTGTTTATTTTAAAAAAAAATAATTACAATAAATAAATATCTCAATGTCAAAAAAATTTATCTCTCATTTAAAAGTTAATATTTTATAATTCAAAATATAAATAATTTTTTACTTTCTTATTATAAAATGTTTATTACTATGATCTTGTAGGAGAAAGAACATCTGTGGCTTTTTTCATTTTTCTTTTTTTTTTTGAAATTTGACAATTCTTGGGGCTACTTGTTATACCCAGGTTTGAATTTAAATTAAGGTGGTTGAACGTTGTTCCGGATGATAAGAAAAACGGGTGGACTGGGAGTCAGTTGAGTGGAGCTGACACTTGACAAAATCTATTACAAGAATTAGTATATCCAAAAAAATCTAGTTTGTATCTGGTTAAAAGCCCCATACCATCAACTCAAAGGAAAACCATTTCGTCACCACGGAGCATAACTGCAACTAAAACTATTACCAGAAAGACAACTATACTGGCAAACTTTCCTATGAAAATTTTTTCTAACTGATTGGAGTAAGTAATTGGCTAGAGTATTATAGAAAAGTTGAATAGTGTTATATCAAAAGTTGTTAAATTTTACAATAAAATTTAATTAAGGTTTATTAGGTTATTAATTTTATCATATTTGATAAAAAAAATTACAAAAAAAGACAATAAATCATATATAAAAAAGAATTGTGAAAAAAAAAATTTTCTTTAAAAATAACTTACGAATTAAAAACATTATGTCAAAAAATTAAAAATTAAAAATATTATTTTTATCCTTTATACATATAAATTAAAAGCACATAAATATTAAAATATTCTTATAAAAGTGGGACATTTCTCATCAAAGCAAACCAAACACCACCAAAGGTCTAGTTAACACCACAGCTAGATCGGGTGGGGTTATTCTCATTCCACGTATTCTTAATGCCGTGTAGCCTGTATCGTAAAGCTAATGCAGATGAAAACAATTTTTGGTGAATAGTGAATGGGTGGTGATATTGAGATAATTTTTTTGTTTTATTTTTTTTTATAATTTTTAAATATCATTAAATGAGAAGATGTATTCAATATCACGAATTTTATATGAATTAAAAAATTCAATCATTTTAATAACACATTAAGTTATATAAAAAAGTAAAACAAAATGATTTTCCAATAGCATTTGTCATAGTGAATAACATGAAATTCATAAATAGGAGACTGGGAAAGTAGATCCTTTAGTTATCAACTAAGACCTGGATAAATACAACAGGAAGTTCGTGATAAACAACAAAATTAGTGCAAATTTCCAGCCAAATCAACCACAGATCAAAAGGGGAAACAATTTTCCAAGGAATACCAACAACTGTCTTTCAACCACTGCAACTAAAATCACAAAAGGCATGCAATAACTCGATTATTTTCTGAGTTTTTAGCTTTTATTTATGAATCATTTCAGAAATCAAAAAATATTCTCTCTAAATACCACACTTAGGTAAGAACCAATGATACATGGTTTCTTAAGTCAACTTTTCACTTAAGCTTATCATGAAGAGATTAACAGCTTCAACATCCAAAACTATCCATGAAGATTCAAACAGTTCATGGAAGAAAACAGATCCAGTTTCCCCAGCCGCATTCCAAGCAACACCAAGGGCATTCCCCTGAACTGCTCCAAGTCAAGGCTTCCCGCAAACCACAACAGTACCTTTCCTGACTCTTGCAATGCACAAGTACAGAGCAAAGGCTTCATTCTAGCTCCTTTCTCCTTCGAGGCATCCATTAGAAAGTAGCAGAATTTGGTCAAGGCTTGGGGGTCGCCTAACAGCTTTGCATCCACTGAATCTTCAAGTTTCACCCACCTGAACTTTCTCCCACTTCTAATACAGCCGCGCTTTGTTACTGCTGCACTTCCTTGTCTAAGAATGGCCCTTTTGTTTTCTGATTGCTCGTTGCATCCCAGCTTTCAACTTATCAAGGTTGCACAAGGACAATGCATCACAAGCAACACCAAATTGCTTTGAAGCACAAGAGCCATCAAACTCCACAAAGGATTCCAGTAGTGCAGTAGCTCCATGTACCACATCTGCAGCTGAAACCTTTGAACTGTACCCATGGAGTCACACAAAAACTCTCGTAGTAGAAATCATTAAGCCCATATTCAGGTAAAAATCGTTCAAACTCATCATTCATCTTTTGTTTTACTTCATGATTCATGTACTGAAACTTTTGCTGGCAATCAACAATCGCAAATCCCATCTGTGCAAGAAGAAGCTTAAGCATTTTGATACCATTATCACTCCAAGTCTTCAATGTAGGGGCAATGTAGGAGGAACACAACATTGAGTCAAATAAGTTCCACTCCCTTAACAGCATAAGCCTCGGTTCCTCTTCATAGGCAATTCTTGAGAAATCAGGTGCTCGAACCTTTATCCCGTCTTTAAGGATCACTGAAGTGACTGCATCCAAATTTCCTGAGCTGTTAATATGTTGCAAGTTCCATAACCCCAGCTTGGTACCTCTCATCCGTTAACCTCTCATGAACAAACTTATCACTGAGTGAAACACAAACACAAGCCAGCCAAAGCAACTCATTTGAGTTCTTCCTCAAAGAATGTGATAAATCATACATCAAAAACCCTGATGGCTTACCATGGAAAGTACCCATATGATAATACTCCCTTTTCAATTTCTTAAAACGCCTTGAATTTGGTTCCTCTACATTCTCCAGAGTCGTCCTTCTTCTCTTCCTAGACCCATCCCCTTCTCCATCTTCCTCTTCATCATCCTCGTCTTCATCTTCACTTTCATTCCCATCCTCATAATCTTCACCGTACAACTTTGAATTATGTAGGCAATTGCTGGCATTTGCCAACTCCATAACATCAAAATCATATGCCAAATCAGCTTGCTGCTCATCATCATGGGTATAAAGAACAACCACCTGCTCATTCTGATCACTTAAATTGTGCAAATGAATCGGCCTGTGACGATCAACAACAAAAACCCGAGTTGCAAGACCCAACTTCAGATCCCTCCGCAAGTCCCGGTGACAACCCCAATTTATCAAAAGGATGGAAATACGCTCATCTGATGAAAAACTCAAATCATCCCCAATGTATTTGTGGATTTCTTGAAATGAAGATACCGGATAACACGGGTAACGTACTGAATCAGACTCAAGAATATGAAACATAATCTTCAAGGCACAAAGGGAGTCTACATCAGAAGTTGATGGGAATATTAACAGAAGAGTAAGCGCTGATGCCTTAGCAGATTCTCGAAGCCAAGCATAAAACGACTCTACTCTTTGCTCCCTCACCATGTTTACTCAATTGGGTATTCAAATTCGAAATCAAATAACAGCCTTCCTCTCCACAGCAAAAATTGGGTATTCACCGAAAAAGAATTAAACCCCAGATGGAACACCCATTTCACATAATTTGCCCTAGATTCTTGGCAAAGTTAAGGACTAAAAATCAACTGTGAAACTAAATCGAAATCGATTCGTAATATAGGTCAATTGAGATCAAAATAATTCACAAACAAGAAATTTCCAGAAAAAAAAAAAAGGAGAAATTTTTAGAGCTGGGAAGATGGATATGGAAGTATCGTACCTGGGATCCGTGGGATCCAAACAGGATTTTGAAATTTTCTCGCCGCCTAGCTTTAATGGCGGATGCGGCTGTGACTTCTCTGAGATGGAGAAGGAGGAAAAGACAGTGAGAGAGCTCAAATGAGTTTAGCATTTGGGATTTGAATTCAGAGAATTTCGTTGAAATTATTTGAATTTTTTGCAGACCGCCAAAGGTTGACGACGCTGAGAATTTGACATAAGAACAGTGGGAGGAGAAATGATTTTGTGGCCGCGGCATGACTATTAAAATTTTTTTTAAAAAAATGGTTTGAGTTGTAAAATGTACCTAGTAAATACCCCGGCATTGCCCCGGCTGTGAAATGAAAAAAAAAAAGAAGAAAAATTTAATATAAACCAATACATTAATAAAAAAGTAATTAATAAATTATTATTAAAATACATATATAATGTTATATAAGGTTAGTAATATTTTTTTTCTTAGTAAAAAAAATTTTGTTAAAGAGATGCAAAGAGTTCCTTAAACTT